ATATTCTCGTTATTGACAATAAAAAAAAAATCAAATCTAATTAACAATACATTGTTAGACAAAGTTAATCATGGATCACTACACAATTTATCACATATATTCAAAATTCTCGAATAAAGTAAGAACCTTTCAGATTAAACTGAATTATACAATGACGATCAGTTGATATACTAATTATATCATTGTTATTATTCGATGTGCATTTAGAATTTGTCAAAAAAACATCACGATTTTTATCAGTTAGTTTTTCTTGCATAGTTATATGATCAGATTTTAATTCAGTATTGATTAATTGAACAATTAATGTTAAATATTCTTCATCTAAATGAATATGAATTGCAAGTAATTGTAATGTAGTAATGATATTAGAATAAAGAAAGTTTTATTTGAATAAATTCAATCAAATAGAAACGTGAAAACCTATAACTATATTCTATTACATATTTGTTAATAAGCAGCATGAATAATGAAACATAATTTTTATTTTCTAATATGATTTGTTTTAATAAATATATTATCGAGAAATTATTCTTATTTATTGTATTTGGAAAAATAAACTAAAACATCAATAATAACAAAGATAAAAAATAAAAAGATAATTAATTGATTTTTTTTTTTGTTTTATTTAAATACGTATATTCTATTAAATAATACCGTCGAATTTCGTTGATTTAGCTGAATAAAGATAGAATGTTGCTTTATAGAAATTTCTGTTAGAACAGCACCAAGGCAAATATGTTTCACAAACATTCCTTATGTGAAAAAAAAATCATTACTCCATGCAAAATTTTATAGAAACATTTTTCATTTTTCGCATTTCTTTCTTTTCATCGTTCTATTATAAAAGTAAACTTGAGACAAAGTTTCTCAGTCAGACATCGAACTTTTCAACGAAAAGCTAAATTATTGATTTGAACTTCATAAGATAATCTAAGTGTTTGACATATTTGCAATAATTTTTGTATGATTCCTTATTTGTAAGACTGATTCTTGATAATTAAAATGACATATCAGCTTATTTGATTAAAAGATAAGACAGATATACTATGTCTATTTTCAGTAAATGATTTTCAGATATATTATACATATCAACTTGAGAAATTCGTGCTTAGATAATTCATAATTAAATTCTTGTTTTTATTTTGAAGTTAATGTTCAAAGGTTGTCAGTAGAAAAATGAAACACCCTCTCCTTATATTAGAAGACTCTCCATAAATGAAATATGCTGGTGAATTAATAGAAGGCGGTTCGAATAAATTTATTGTTCCAAAAAATCGAAAGCTTAATTTGTCTCTGTATGCCGAAATATGTCTAACTTTCACGGTTTTTAACTGAAGATCTTAAAGAACTAAGATCAACATTATTTCTCGACGTTTAAAAATCGAAAAAAA